AAAACTTATATTGAACGTTATTACTGATTAAAGTTTATACACATTTTTACTTATAACACACAACTTGCGTGTTTATGTGATTATGGTGTATAGATGGAATAGTAATTCACGTATTTTTATATCAAGTTTCTACACTAGTAGTTTTCCTAATTATGCACACAGTTCCTTTCGCGCCGTGACCGAGTGGTTATGCTCGTTGACTTCTAACCCCTTGCCTTACACTGCTGTATGTTTGAACAGTGGATTTTACTTAATCGATACAACTGAAAAACAACAAAATATAACATTGACAAATATATATTGTGACGTTCACGTTTTTATATTTATAGTTTATTTTTGAATAAAAATACATGTTAATATTACATACTTGAACTTGTGACCGTTGATTACGTTTGACACCCAAATTACCTCAGACCGGGAACACCTTGAGTGGCGAGGGGTGTTGAAATGATGTTTAATGAAAAGAGGCTGTAATAAAATTTAAATTTAAGTTTTAATTAAAAAAAGTAATGTGAAGCGAAAAAATAAAAAATATGTTAAAATTATTGAAATGTATACAAATTATTTTGAACTCTTGGCTGCCTAATTGATGCTATTTGGTTTACGTGAGTCGCTGTTACAAAACATATTTCAGTATCAAAAACTTCAAGTGTACACTTGAACGTTTGTTATAGAAAATCAAGAAGAAGGAAAATAAAACAATAAAATACAGCAAATTTGTGAATTTAAAATGTTATTACAGATACATAAAGATTTCATGCATTATTCATACTTCCGAACTCTTCAAAAATATGTAATGAGAGCATTTTCAAAAACTCACTATATGAAGTCGTTTCTATGTATATGTTAGTGTTCATCCGAGCTGTTCTACAGAAATTAGAAACTTCGACGGGAGCGATAGCGACAGGAGAATGTTTCTAATTTCTGTAGAACAGCTAAGGATGAATACTAACATACTTAGTGTCAAGCTTTATTTGACCTCATTATTCTTTACTTTATTACGTCACTACGGGTTTTATGAAGTACTATGAAAAATAGAAGTCGACTATGAAAGAAATTCGATATAGTATTGGTTTTTGTTCTTCTATGAAAATTAACGCACATGATTTTGAAGAAATGCTTCGTTTTCATTGGATGACAAATAAAGCTGGACACTAAGAAAAATAAAAGTCGACTATGAACGGTATTCGATATAGTATCGATTTTTGTTCTTGTATGAAAATTAAAGCACAGAATTTGAAGAAATACTGAATTTCCATTGGATGTCAAATAAAGTTGGACACTAAATATAAATCGTTTCTTTAATATAAGAGCATAAATAACAAAAGTCTGAAAATATAAATATACCTTGATGTAAGGCAAACACATTTCTCATATGATAAGACAACACCTTCAAATTTGTTTCAGATTATAATACAGATTGCATTCTTTCTGCATAAATATATCATTTACCTGAATTATTTAAAGTAGAAAACGAGAAACTATCAGATGGATAAAGCTTCGGAGTGGATGACATTGTCAACACTGTTGTTGTTGATGTTGTTATTGTTACTACTGTTGTTGTAACTGAATCGATAGTGCTATAATGTTATAATTGTAATTTCAAATTTCTATATATCCTGGATAAAATATGAGAATCAGTGAAATACTATTATGGTAAATAAATTACTGATACAAACGTTAATAAATCTAAAATGAACTGATTACCAGTGTGAGCTATGAAAATGTGAACTCGAGTTAAATTCACCAGTTCAATATATGTTTCAATTAATGCTTATCATACATTTGCTTTATATTGTACCCTGTTACGTCAAATGTAGGAAAAATAATTTTATGCATTTGTAAAATAGATCGAAAGACAATTTGTCTGCCTTTATAATTTTTGTTATGTGTAGTAAACTGATCAGATGCGTCATAGTTTCATGTGTTAAAACAGTTTAGCTTTATCACGTTCTGCAAACGTTTGGTTACACTCACCTTATTCGCTGCTGCAACATAGGTTAAATTTTTAAAACATGATAAAACTAAGTTACCTATTAGACAACACACTGCTAAAGATGTTGGTTTCCAGTTTCCAACGCAAGTGAATTCAACGCGTCTATCAAAAGTATAGCTAGCAGAACAAGATACACTTGCGGATGTCCTATGCCATCCACCATAACAAGCTCTCCCATTTTTCACAATTAGCGACTCTCCGCACTTATTATCTGTAAGTAATTAAACTGTAAGTACAACTGATTGTCTTAAGTTTATGATTGCCTGTAAGATCAGTTGATTTTTACTTTTATTAAGGATTACCTGCATTTGATTTAGCATTATACACGAGCAGAAAACTGCTGAAATATAGCTATAAATCTCCTCTTTACTGATATTTTAAATTAATAAGATTGATTAGTATATTCGAACAGTTTCAAATGCTTAAAATTTCAGCATAGTATTCATTTTAATAAAATCACAAGTTACAATTTTCTCACATATTGACAAGCCTCCTTAAATAAAGCAAGATAAAATTTTGGATACATTTGCTACCCCACCATTGGCTCTAAGTACTATAGGGATGTAAGGTAAACATCCAGCACAGCACGAGTTGTTTTTAGAGTATATTTTATTTAAAACTTCTTAGGCAATACAATATAAAATACAAAGTTAATCTGCTGACATGACAAAAACGCGACTCATCTATAAAAGGTTTTGATTTTTTAAACTGTATTTATACTATGACATAGCGCGAATCTTTGTGACAGAAAGTCCATCAGCAAATCCTCCGATTGCTGGAGACAGTGAAAGAAAACAGACGACTTAAAATAAGAAGTATCCTTAAAAAAGATACTAGTACTCGGCCGAAATAAAACTGATTAAATTGAATAATTATGTTTACTTAGTTCTTAGTTTTCCATGAAAGGTCATATAAGAATGTTTTTAACACCAACATCTACACAATTGGTAAGGCAATTATATTTATAAATACCTGATTAATTTGCAAAATATATGAACATTATATCATTTGAACACAACAATAATCAAATAATATAGTAGACACTATTTAATATCATAAACTAAGGGTACCGTACGTACCTATTGTTCTCGATATTTTGGACAAAATTTAAAACTCAGATCGTGTGTAAAAGAAACACAGAAAGTTCTTACGTAAAATAAACTGTTCACTATAAAGTGTAATAAGATCTGAATGTTAAACAGAACTTTGATATCTGAGCAATTTACATAGAGTGACAATAACTATCCTTTACATTTTATTTTATAATGGCCAATGAGATTCCCAGATTTTGTTTTGTAATTTTTAAAATGACCAATGAAAACTCATATATTCAGTTCTTCCATGTAAAATTTATAGGAAGTCAATCTGAAAATAGACCAGCCTTTGACCTGAAAAAAATGCATGATACCATCAAAAAAACAAATATAAATCATAACATGTATAATATGAAATAACAAACAGCCGGACCTTTATATTACCCCGACATTGAAATTTTAAAAGGACACACATTCATGTGGTAAATAATAAAATTACAAGTAAATAAGAACTGATAATTACTAAAACATTTACAATTGTAATCAAGATTTGTTACAAGATAATGAATCTCATTAATTTATACGAATTTATTATAGTTCGATTGTGTTAGAAGTTATCAGCTTATTTAAACATTCTCGAATCCGTTCATTGAACTAACCGGTACTAAGCAATGGGTATATTTGCTCATTGAAACAACGGCTAAATCATAAAGTGGTTTGAACGCACGCGGCCAGCAAACATTGTATGAATACCGCGACACGTTAGCCACTCGGCCATGCCGCCACATGGAAAAGATTAATCCTATATGGAAGGTTCATTTGTCGTGTTGTTGATTTTTTGCTATTGTTTATTTCAGCGTTTAGCTATCCTTGTGTATACTTACAGTTTAGGGAATACGTATCACAAGCAGCCACTTTCATATGTTCACCATTCCCTGAAAAATGTATATGGTAATCTTTTATTATTATCCTAAGTTCTTTATCATATATACATTTCATACTACTTCCAAATTGTATTATTTCAAATACAACATCGACTTCCATTTCAACCAAGATCATCACTGAAACTGTGAGAATACATTTACAAAATTTGCAAAAATAATGCATATCCGTAATCAAGTCATTTTAGATTTATACTAAACTACATAAAGGAAAATATCCAGCCTAAATTGCGTTACACGAGAAGCAAGTAAAATTGTATGCAAATGTAATATTTTATACATGCATGGACTAAATCTGCCTGGTTTTGTTTGAATTAAAATAATATAAAATGAAAAATATAACCTGTCATTAAAACTCTCAAATTGTTTATTCATGTACTTACCTAAAAACAAACTAATTACCACAATTGTAAAATAATATGAAATTTTCATTTATGAACCCACCTCCGTAAGCTCAGATGGTTATATTTGAATTGAGAGGAAAAGAAACAACAAAAGTTAGTTGAATTGAAAATTGTCATTTTAATGATAAAATGACGGATAAAGTGAAAATATAATATTGCATAAAACAAATACAATGTGACAAGAAAAAAATCAACTATAAAATGTTTTCCTTATGCATGTTAAATATAGTATCAATGAAACAAATTTATGAAAACTAATCTAAACAATCCACCAATAATGAATGTACCTTGCAGACTGACAATTTAACACCGTATAAGGCTAAATAATACTAAAAATTGGGGGGGGGGGGGGGATAAAACTTCTTTGTTTTTAGTTTTTGTTGCATAAATTAGTGCAGTGTAATATAAACACATTGTGAATTTTACACTGGTCAGACAACACTAAATATATTATGGTCAAACAACACTAAATATGTAGAACGGAAATTATCCTGACTGCAAGTAACATACACTACGGTATTCATAAAGCTATTTATTCTTCAAATAAATGATTATTTATGAATCCACCTCCGTAAGCTCAGATGGTTATATTTGACTTGAGAGGAAAAGAAACAACAAAAGTTAGTTGAATTGAAAATTGTCATTTTAATGATAAAATGACGGATAAAGTGAAAATATAATATTGCATAAAACAAATACAATGTGACTAGAAAGAATTCAACTATAAAATGTTTTCCTTGAAAGACAAAGTTGGGGGGAAAAACCGCCATAATTGTGAACAATTTAGATAAAAATTGTGAATCAATCCCCCAACCAATCTGAGTGTAGAGGTGGTTGATAATTAAGGTTTGATAAGCGCAATAAATGATTTAACATAATTAAGTTGAAGATATCTAGAGTTCGTCTCAAATACATTTTAAGATATCAGCTGGCATACAGCTCACAAAGTAAATGCTAATAAATTCCTAACTAAGACAACTATATGACTAGAAAAATAGTTAACTATATTTACACCAAGATATGAAAAATATAAAGGAAATTGTTATACATGTATTATGTTGAAGACATTTCACAAAAAATATTGGCACATTATCCACATGTATGTAATTTCTAATTGAAAGATTTAAAAAAGCTACTGTAAAGGAGAATGAAGCCCAAAACTCCATCTCTGCTACCCTACTACTTAATATATGAAGAAAAATAGTTAACTATATTTACAACATGATATGAAAAATATAAAGGAAATTGCTATACATGTATTATGTTTTAGACATTTCACAAAAAATATTGGCACATTATCCACATGTATGTAATTTCTAATTGAAATATTTAAAAAAGAATACTGTAAAAGAGAATGAAGCCCAAAACTCCATCTCTGCTACCCTACTACTTAATATATGAACTCAAAAGGCAACAATATATATATATATATTTATACATATAGGAAAGATGGATATAAAACTATTGACATCAACCTGCATCTATTTTATTTTGGTGTACTATCCGGCTGCTCATAAAAATTAATTTGCATGAGCACCAGCCCAAAACTGGACGCCCAATCACATGTACTAGCCTGGTCGTTAAAATGAACCTACATATATTTTGTTAAATGACTTTTTATAAGCATCCGCCCAAAACTAGATGCTGATTTATCCTTGTGTGACCAAGCCCAAAACTTGATTCCTTAAAATTGGTGTCTTAAAGCTGTATAGTACTATGTTCTTTAGTGTATGTTGTATATAATTGGAAATATACTTTTTATATCAAAAAGCTATTTATTCTGATGTATTTCTTAAATGCAGAAGACTTCCATCTGCCCATTTCTTGAATCAGGCTCTCCGACATGCCCTTAATTGCCGCCATGGAAGCTGCCCCTATACGGAAACAATGACCTTTATATACCTTTGTGTCATAGCCACAGAAAACTAAACACTGTCTCAGCTTTTCACTGAAGAATGAACGGGAAACACAGGTCTTGTCTATAAAATTGAACAAAGGACCTTCCGTGGAACCACGCATGCAGACATATTGCCATAGTGTTGTAACAGGACAGAATTGTTTGCAGTCTGCCTTGGCTTTGATTGCTAGTAGGACAGAGCGGCCATTAGAATGTTTAAAATTTGAGATTCGCACCTCTAAGAGTGCAGGTTGACCTGATTTAAACTCCTTGAATGTTATATCAGAATATGACAGTGTGGAAGGTTTGCCTTTATTGCTTGTGATTTCACCAATCCGCAGCAAGGCATGGAAAGCAAGCAGGAACATTGCTCTAACTAGAGTTCTTATGAAGAGACCAGTACAAGTTTTCTCAACTGAAGCAACCAGTTTTTCCAACATGTCATTTGTGATTGGTAACCTTTTATCTGGAGTTTTTAAACTGTTGCTGTAGCCATGTAAACATTTTTTAACTAAAAAGTTACTTGAAAAATCTGGCAGACTATGTGTTTTATGAACATAGCTCAATGCTGATGTAGGTTGTAATTGTCGATGCTGCCAGTTTTCTGACATAACAATGGGCTATAAAGAAAAGATAGAGTTCAGCAGTTATTGGCATAGTAACCGGCAAGTACGGGTTAATGTCAAGGAAAGCCTTGTACGCTTGGAGAGCACGATTGTATGTACATTTTGAAGATTCTGTTAGAGACTTGTTCACTAGAGATTGTGCTATTTCAGTCAAGGATATATCTGATCGGCTGGAATGTCTTCCCGAACTGGATTCTGCCACATGCATTCGTCCAAATATTGATTCACCTGTTGACGAGAGAGAAGATCAGCAAAGCGATTCTCAGAACCCGGAATATGGATTGCTTGAAACATAATATTTTGTCTAAGTGTACACAAAACTAACCTTCTTACTAACCTCATTACAGTTTTGTCTTTTGATGTTTGTTTATTTATAATGTACACTACTGCTTGGTTATCTGTAAGGAAAACAATGCATCTGTTTTTAAGAAGATGACCCCAAACTTCTAAAGCGAGAACAAATGGATAAAGTTCTTTAAAAGTTATATGACATTGCTGTCAAATACTATTTTAAGGCCATGGGTCAGCAAAGTACATGTTTTTTAGATAGCCCCCAAGCCTGTATTGCTACTATCTGTGAACAAGTGTAGTGATGTTTATATTGCCAATGCATTATCTAGCATTATGGCTGTTCCATTAAATTCATCTATGAAAACTGTCCAAGCCTTAAGATCAGCATGCGCTTCAGCTGTCAGACGACGTTTGTGGTGTGGTTTCTTTAGCCCTATTGTTAGGTCAATAAGTCTACGCAAAAAACACCTCCCTGGCGTAATCACAGCACAAGCAAAGTTTAGCAAGCCTATGAGTGACTGGAGCTCTTCCAGGGTGATTTTTCGTCTGAACTTAAGAGAGTGTAACCTAGATCGAATTTTTTCTATTTTATCTAAAGGTAATCGTTTTACCATTCGGGTTGAATCTAGTTCAATTCCCATGAAGGACATCACTGTGTCTGGGAGCATAGTTTTCTCATCTTTTATGGGCACACCAAGTTCATCTGCTAGCCTAAGGAAGGATTGGAGAGAAGATAAACATAAATGATATTGTGGGGGTGAGACAAACATAAAATCATCCAAGATATGTACACAACCTGGCACACCAAGTTTTTCTGTTGCAATCCATTGCAGTGCTGTTGAAAATTTTTCAAAAAGGGAGCAAGAATAAGACAGTCCCATGGGCAAAGTTTTGTCATAATATATATTGTCTAAATGTGTGAAGGCGAGTAGATGTTGCGAGTCTGGAGCTATGGGTACCAATTTAAATGCTTTTTCGATATCTGTTTTAGCCATGTATGCCCCGGGGCCGAACTTTTGAATTAGAGATACTGCATCATCAATTGATTGATACTGAACGGAACAAAGATCTCTGGGAATCCCATCATTGATGGAAAAGCCTTCTGGATATGAAAGATGTTGTATAAACCTAAATTCTCCTTTAGTTTTCTTTTCTATTAGCCCAACTGGCGAAAAATGCATATGGTTAAATGGCTTTTCAGTGAAAGGACCTGCAAGGCGGTTTGCTAATAATTCTACGTTTATTGCTTTGCTGACTTCCACCGGGTGACGATATGCAGATTGCAAGTTTTTGACTGGTTGCTCATTAAGTATGCCCTCAAAAGGAATGTGAAATCCATGTAAAAAACCATTAACCAGGAAATTTGAAATATTTTCATCATAGTTTTTTAACCAGTGTGATAAAACATATGGCTTAATAGGTGTAACAATATGATTATTGAGAAAGCTATGTTCTGATTGTTCCATTGTTTGAAGCATGTTGTGGTTTTGGGGTAGGCTTTTGGGTGAAACCCTGAGTTCCCCGTGCTGGCTGTGCTCCACCTGGCATGGCGGGAGTTGTTGTTTGTGTTCGAGTGGCCTTTTGGCAATTCTGTCTAGGATGTGGTCTGTAACAGGTGCTGCATATGTGTTGAAAACGGCAGTTGTTTCTGTAACAAATTCCGTCATTATACAGGTTACAGGTTTGTGGGCGTTTCCCACGAAAAAGGTTGTTTGTTCTGCCCCTTTGTCCTTGCCTGAATTTTTGCTGGAAGCTTAACCCGTCTGCGATGGCTTTGTTGTATAACTCCATGTTAGGCATGTCCCATGGTGTTGTTGTTGGTCTTTCCTCGCGAAGTTTCCGGAACTGAGTGTCGTATTTTATTGCCACATATGTTCCAGCCAGTTTCGCCAAATTCTGAACCGTTGATGAATGTTTCATCAGTGCAGGACCCAACTCTGGTGATTTTTCTAAGTACACTGACACAAAAATTGTGTAAGCATTGTGCCATGCTTCCATAGTCTTAATTTCGTCATTGTCCTTTTTTTCTAGACTGATTGTGCCATCTGGGTGATGTTTGAAAGTCAAAGTTCCTGACTCTTTAGAGGCTATCAAACTTGATAAAGGCAAATACTGATCCCCCCAAACTTTCGCCTTCAGTTTGGGGTCAACCCCTGTACTAAGAGAAATACCTCTTCCCACTTGTTAAGTTGTGTCTGGAATGGATTTCTGGACAGATGGAGGAATTGCTGATCCAGATTGTGATGTGCCTGCCTCTTGAGAATTGACAGGGCTGTTGTTGGTGGATTTATCTGTCAATTGTGTGGTATCTTGTGATTGTTCCTTTCCTTCAAGAAGTCCCATTTCTTTTAAAGTGGATAATACTGACTGTGTCACAGCCGGTATTATTTCGTCTAGTTCCGCTGTAGACTTCTGTGCCTTTGGAGGGGTAGATCGGTATTTACTCGTTGATTTTCGTTTGCTCATCTGAATAAGAATGCTCAATGCTTAATGTAATATTTTATACTATAATATCTTTACATGTATATGTATATGATAAGGAATACTTATTCCAAATTAGACTATCTATGGCAAATAAATATATTTAAATAATTTTCATTCATTTTGAAAATTGCCATAAAATAAATATATATTTTTTCACCCTAGAATCTTTAATGAAATCAATTGTATAAAGCCATAACTTAAACAGTTATGGTATGTATTTCTGAAACAAATACACGGAACTAAGGTTATCATATTCTAAAGGTATTAATATCCAGAGTAGATATAGGTCTACACAGTAATTGTGACAACATAAAAAGCAAACATTGAGAATGATAATTGAGATATATAAATGCAAATGCCTACCAGACCCAATACATAAAATAATCATAATGCACATTGATAAATGTATATTTTTTATAAACACATATTGAGTAAAAATTGCCTAGCAACCAATGTGCCAGTTATATTTAAGTATAGTGAAGTACAGCCAATGTGCATATTAAACAACCAATGTGTCTATGACATGCAGTCAAAAACGCAACCAATGTGCGTACTACAACAACCAAAGTGTCTAGTCATGTCTGAATGCTTGTATTACATATACAACCTATGTGCATTCGACCTGCAGGCAAAAATACAACCAATGTGCATACTATATACCTTTGTACAACCAATGTGTATATTAAAATAATTTAAATGATTGCCGTCATTTTGCAAGTCGCCGGTATATTCATATACATAATACTTAATGTACTGAAAAAACATTTGCAACCAATGTGCATAATTGATAAAGATACAACACTTTTTGTTTTCCATGTGCAGTTGTGAAACAAGTAACATCTGAATGAGAAATTGCCTCCAATGTGTAATTGAGTTAAAACACCACTGTATGATAAACCTGTCACCAATGTATATAAATCATGTTCAATAAAAATTTCCTCTAGCTTTACTAAAGGTACATTGTAGATATTGCTGTAAATAACATTGTTTAATTACTTAATTGTTTAATTACTTTAATTATTAATTAATTGTTTACTTACAGTAATTGCAAGTGAATTAAACGAGTTAAAATTGATTGCATAAAATAATTCACTAAAAATTCATGATTATTTTATGTGAGTTTCTTAAAAATCTTAGTTTGATATTTTTATTTTGATATCACTATTTTTATAATAATGTTAGCTCGATCAATGTCCCTAATCAACAAAATACATAAAAAGAAAACAATTAATATAATTTATATTAAAAATTATTATATTATTTTTTGAAAAATATTCTGAAAATACTGAGGTACAAGCTATAACAATACATTGTAAAAATGTCATATATACACTGTTATAATGTGTTATAAGTTTTCAACTAGACTGTTCGAAAGAAAAAAAAATTAATAAATAAATAAAAATAAAAATCCTGGTGTAGGCGATCATAATATCTGTTGATGGTGCCTGGGGACCAAACATTGTCAGTTTATGCACGGCGTAATCTGCATGGTTCATTCGCTGCTCAGAATGTTGTGCTGCGCTCATCCAGAATACCTGTATTTTTTACACTTGAAATATTACATGCACCAAAGAAAAAGAAATGATGGAATGCTCTAATATTATAGAAAGAAATAAGATAATCTTTAGATAATATAATTAAATGGCGAACAATGTTTTTTTTTTTTTTTTTTTTGTAGAGCCCCAAATTTATTTTTCTTTGCTGTATGTAAACACTTTTCACTTATCCTGTAATGATATTAAATGGAACACACTGATCTTTAAACAAGCAGTCATGGAACTATTTACATCGAATGATGGCTCCTCTAACATTGTGATAAATGTAATTCATCCCATCATCAGTTAGATGAACACCATCCGGTTTCAAAAGGTCTGGACGCAGTGAAGCATAATGTCGCATTTTCCAATAAGATACCTTATGAAGATTTATAGTGTCTTCTTGAACTAATTTATTGACTTCCTTTACTTTAGCATTGTAAAGTAAAGGGTTCACAGTTCGTGTACACCGTCTTTGAACTAGCTGCATTATAAACACATGTTGTAGATTGTATCTATTTTGGAAGAGAGTGGCAGTTGCAATAAGGTGTTGGGCCACTTCTTCCGCGGTTACATCACCAGCACTATCCAGGTCATTGCCACCCAACCAAAGGATTAGGTAGTTAGGCCTCAAAATCCTCATTTTTGTGTGAAACAAATTCATCATTAACGTGTTGGACAGTCTTCCTCCACTATATCCAAAAATACCTATTTGCTGATTTTCATTCAGCCTAAAAGCTTGATCCAATCGACGATGTTTTCGCTGTAAATAGTGTCTGAAATGATTCATATGTGAATCTCCGAGCAACAGAATATTCGCAGGCATTTTATGGGTTATTAATATATCACTCTTATATTGTATATCGTCCTTCACGACATGTACAGTTCATCATAAGTTGTAAATCACAAGTGAAGTTTACCTCGTTTCTAGTTCTGTGGTAATAACCGGGTTCGACCAATATTGGGTACGAACTGGAGGGTTCTAACTGTCCAAATTCCACGGACAGAAATCCAATAAATACGACTTAACTCCGCCTAATATTCACAGAAGATGTAACTCTTATGATGAATCGATAAAAAATATAAAAGAAAATCAATATGGTTTACTTTTTTGAACGTAGATAATATCGGCGTTGATTAAAAACTTCTAATAATAAAACTTCTTTGTTTTTAGTTTTTGTTGCATAAATTAGTGCAGTGTAATATAAACACATTGTGAATTTTACACTGGTCAGACAACACTAAATATATTATGGTCAAACAACACTAAATATGTAGAACGGAAATTATCCTGACTGCAAGTAACATACACTACGGTATTCATAAAGCTATTTATTCTTCAAATAAATGATTATATTTATCCACTTGTTATCTTAAAATGTGCATGAAATATTTGAATACGGAAGTTAAAATTGGAAATTGTATTTTATGTATAATAAAGAGTTCTAAATGTCCATACAAATGTTATGCATTGCTTCAAAATACTTGTTTATACAGTGTAACAAAGACTTAACTATGGTGGCTGATTTGTGCCATTCGTGTTTTCGCCCCGCGACCCCGCCAAGCGAAAAGTCGAAAATAACAAGTTAAAATGGCGGGAGCGCGCAGCGAAAACACGCTTATTAGCGAGGGTGTTTTCGTCCCGCGATCCCGCCGTTTTATTTCTTAAATCTCGCTCCGCGGTTGATTTAAAATACGCTATTTCCTACAGTTTACTGTTTCTGTCAATACAAGGGAGATAAGTCGTAAGGTCTTATTACCCGCAACTCAGAATATGTTTTCCCTTTAGTTTATGCTAGCGCTTACGTCTTCAGTCGTATACGTCATTTATTCAGGAGCACTTGTCCCAGTCTGTTTTGAGATGAATCCAAGTTGAATCTGTCGCAATTATTAAATAATGAATTTTCATGTATCAGATTGATATTGATTTACAATACGTTTAATACAGTATAGTTAATACATTATACCACGAGGTGCGGAACACGGTGGTATCATCGAATAGACTAGTTAATGTACTTTAAGTGAAATAGATCTAATCTTTATACCAGTGAAATGTTCCGTTTATCACTGTGTTGAATTATATTTGCTAGGATGGCTAAAGAAAGACGAAATCTAACAGACGTGGAAACCCTGTTTCGATCCCTAGCCTTTCCACTTGGTCATTGGCAAGAAGTCAATCGGCGCGGCCAAGAAAACAAACTTGCAAAGCAACATCAACAGCTGAAAAACGTGTGGCTGTCAATGTGGAAGAATGTGTTCTGATGGCAATTTACCTACAGATTGACAGGTGGTTGGCAACCCCGCTCCTAAACTTCAGCACGAGCACCCCGTGTTTGGTTTTCCGATGGTTTCTCCAAGGTTGCCTCCTTCTGAAACCCCAAATATCCAAGATGAGGGTGACCTGGATATTAATATTTCAGGAAAAAATATGAAATAATCAGTATGTTGATATTGCACAAATGTTGCACAAAAATTTCCATATGCCAAGTTTGCAAGATGACAATAAAAAATCAGTTTGTATTAAAATCTCATAAAAAAACTAAAATAAATTGGAAATATTGATTCTTGGACTGATGTATTTGTAAATTTCATTTTAGTTTTAATTAAAAATATGTGAGAAGTTAGCAGTGAACAGTGAGCTAAGCAAAAAGGCATTTCAATTTACATAGGGAAGTCAATGATCTGATGTAATGCCCAGCTGTTTTGGGCATCTAGCGGGGCATTCCGAAATATAGTGTAAAAATGCTCTGCTGCAATACTCAGCTGTCTTGGCAATCTAGCAGAGCATTCCTAGCTATAGTGAAAAAATGCTCTGCTGGAACGCTCAGCTGGCTAGGCAATCTAGCAGTGCATACTAAAAATAGTGTTAAATGCACTGCTGGAATGCTGAGTTGGCTTGTTAGTGTAAAAATGCTCTGCTGAAATGCTAAGCTGGCTAGGAAATCTAGCAGGGCATTACTAAATAAAGTGTAAAAAAGCTCTGCTGGAATGCTAAGCTGGCTAGGCAATCTAGCAGGGCATTACTAAATAAAGTGTAAAAATGCTCTTTTGGAATGCTAAGCTGACTAGGCAATATAGCAGAGCATTCCTTAATATAGTGAAAAAATACTCTGGTGGAATGCTGAGCTGGCTAGGCAATCTAGCAGGGCATTCCTTAATATAGTGAAAAAATGCTCTGCTGGAATGCTAAGCTGGCTACGCAATCTAGCAGGGTATTCCTAATTATAGTGTAAAACTGCTCTGATTGAATGCTTAGCTGGCTATATTTTAGAACGTTCGCTAGATTGCCTAGGCAGCTGAGAATTCCAGCAGAGCATTTTTACACTCTATTTAGGAATGTTCTGCTAGATTGCTTAGCCAGCTGAGCATACTAGCAGAGCATGCTTACACTTTATTTTAAAATGCTCTGCTAGATTGCTTACACAGCTGAGCATAACAGCAGATCATTGATTTCCCTATATAAATCGTAATGCCTTTTTGCTTAGCTCACTGTTAACTGCTAACTTCTCACATACGTTATGATCATGCTGTTAAAATGATAAAAAGGCTAGGTAAAGGTCATCGTCGCAGGGGGTCAAACGTATAGCGGTGCAATACTCCTTTAAGCGAGGTGATTTCATGCGATACGCCCTAATGGCGGATTTACCCGTGTAAACACACGTCAGAGTGAGTGTTTTTATTAAGTTTTTCATAAATCTTTGATTACAAATGCATATTTTGTATTGGGGATGTGAAGATAGGACCGACACACATTTCATCAAAATTACAGAGGCCTAAATTCATAATTAAAAAAGTTATTGAAGGTAAACTGACGGCAACTAATTTTGGGTCGGTGAATAAAATCGCTTAATGCAAGCTTATATTAATATAGTTTATTTCTTTTTCTTCTTTATTCTATAAGAGAAATCATAATTGAGTTGCACAGCAAGTACTTTTGTGCTCCGATATACATAGACGCTTACTTGTCAAAATATTTAAGTGTACGCTGGATTTTGGTGCGATAAAATAACTGTACGCTGTTTAAGTTCAATATTTTTCATTATCACATCTGCTGTACATGTTTTCCTATGATTATACTAAGATATCTACCATATATATGTGCCCGTTCCGGAATTCTGAAATCTTCTTCTTTCCTGAAATAAAAGTTTTGTATAATCATCTATTTATTATATAATAGTATTTGAACTTAATTTGAATAATTAATAATAATTATCCTGTAAAAATTAGGAGTTGAAAAAAGTTACCTTTACTCTAAGATCTTAGATAAAAAAAAAAGGAATTTGACCAAAATATGTAAGAATGAATTAAAGAAACCAATTAAGAAATCTTGTATAAATTAACTCACTTTCAAAGCAGAACATTTCAGAAAAATAGCAGTTAATATGTGATATAAGGGCTGTTTTACTTCATGAGGTTCTAAGATCTTTTATACATGCTGCTGTCAAACTGATATTTTTTTCATATTATAAATAGAATTGAACATTTTAAACAACCTATAAAATACAGTGAAAGTACATTTCACTGCTGTTGTAGAGATAGAGACTGAGAACCAGGTGGTAAAAATCTTTAGGTGATAAAATTCTTTTCAAAAATGTTGCTTAGAACAGACTTTTTTGTAATGCACATAATTGTGGCCTGTCAGGAAAAAACACAAAACTACAATTTCAAAATGCAGTCAGTCATTGGACACCAAACAGCTCAGT